TCCCATACAAACTGTGCAATGAACTGTTAAGCATACACATCTCACTTCTTGCCTTTGTGAGCAATTTGCTTCTCAACTTCATTCCTCCAGTATTTAGAAAGTTGGACAATTTCTACTGCAAATGCATTTGTGGACAACTGGTATTTAGATCACCTCAAAGTAGTGATATCTTACAGGTTAATTCTCATCCAGGTCTGCAAATCAGCTCTTTATGAGAGCTGGTCTAACCACAATGACTTTGGCTTAGTCTTTTCTAGGACAGACAAGCCAAAATATATTAATCTCTTGCCACAAAACAGGACATTTAATCTCCAAGTTCTATCAGCACCCACAGAATTCCAGCTTTACCCTAGAGTGGAGCTGAAGTTGCCCACCACATTTAATGCACTTTAGTAACCTCTCCTCTCTATATGATAGTATCCCATGAGGTGCATCTTGGGAGCTGCTCTTTTCCAGAGACATTTCAAGGTGTGATTCATATCCCATCCACTTAAATAACACATATACATTTCCTTTATGATCCCTGACTGACAAATTCCTGTGCTCATTCTTAAGGTCTATAGGTTAAAAAAGGCCCTTAGGAGCAAAGTACAGAATGGAAATTACTCCAATCCCTGATCATCCTATTTTCCTGAGCAAGTCCCCAGGTACCAGCACCACTTCCCAAAGCAGTGGAGCAGAGAAGGTTTCAAAGTGCATCCCTGCACGTAGCTTTGGTTCCAAGACAGATCCCTGAAGAATATCCTTAGTCACCTCCCTCCCGCTGCCAGACAATTACATCCCCTGGCACAGGGACACAGGAGAGAAAATGAAATATAACCTGTGTCCCTAACACAGCACCTGATGCAAGGATTGATATTGCTTCCCACACAAACAATAGGCATTTTCCTCATCTGGGAGGGGGGCTTTTCTCCACCTCTCTGAAACGTTTCCTTTTTGAACCTGTAACAAACCAGTCCAGTGAGCGAGTGAAACCACAGTGCCACTCTCAGCCCCTTCAGCAGCTGCCTCTTGTGTGAACAGCTAAGGCAGGGTCTTGTGCCAAAAGCCCTGAGGAAGGAAGGAAAACTTTTCTAAGTTCTGCAGTCCTGTTTTTCCGAGCATAAATATGAACTGGAAGTGTGCAAGCCAAGGTTTAGTGACAAGAGGAAAAAAAAGAAAAGCAAGATACTGATCAAAAAGCTGCAGTACAAAACCGTAACTAGGACATTGTGATGATCCATCCCTTCTTTGTAAGAGCAAGGGAAAGTTTTGTTGCATGTATTTGTGCTTATGGATTTATTTTTCATTGTTACCAAGTAAGCAGTGAAAATAAAGGTTAAAAAAGCATTTTTTAATAAAACAACAGATTTTAACCCTAATTTTTTGGATAAACTAAGAACAGATTCTGTTGATGCAGGCAGGTTCTCCTCCTCCTCTGTGACTTAATACATACATATTTAATATGGTCAGCCATACAAAGTGGCTTCTTGATACAGCATCAATTACATTTTAAAAAACTCAAAAACAACCCAAAAAAAACTTTCCTGAGAGCCACCTAAATGTGCTCCTTGCACAAAAATAAAAGAGCAAAAACTGACAGCCTAATGAAATAATCAGCTCTTACAGAGTAGCCAAATGTTGTTTACTAAAGAGTTCTATTTAACTTATTCTTTTAATACATTAATATTTAATACTTGCTTTTCAAGACTAAAGTTACTAATCAGATCACTTTAATAAATACGTTTTTAAACACAGAGACTGCTTTAAAAAATACTAAAACACTAGAGGGCTAGAGAGCATTATCTTCAATAATCAGTTCAGAATTCTTGTTGTGTTCATAACTGGCCATCTTAAGCACCTGTGGAAAACCTGTCTGCTTTGCTTCAGCAAGTCTCAAGTTTTAAAAGCAGAGTTAGGATTACAGGCACTGAATATAAGTATTTCTAAATAGAGGGGAATTACTCACAACAGCTACCAGGTAGTTGCTATAGCAGCTGAGAAATGAAATCAAGGAAGATCTTCAAGGTTGTTAGGAGAGTGTTTAATTTATTTAGAAATATCCTGAGCAATCTTTTAATATCTTTGCTGCAGATGCATGCAGTGATTTGTATGAGAACTGGGCAATACAAAGATGTTCTACAGCTGCAAGTGTGGGAAACTTCTTTTAATTGCAGATAGGCACAGAGAACTCCAGAACTGGCCAAAAGGCACCAACGTTCCCATCAGGAAATGTAACATTCTCCTGCAGCCAAGAGCCCATGGCTGCACAGGAATATCTGCTGAGGGGCTCCAGCAAGCACAGGAGAAATGCCTTGGATGCTCCCTGGAAGCCAGTGCAGAACACAAAGCCCTTCCACAGCCAGGTGTTGAGAGGGGACCGTGGTGTCTTTCTGAAGGATCAATATCTGTGAGTTATCACCTCTGAGCCAGCCACGCAGGTAAGGCAAGAGAGCACAAGTTCCTTTAAACAAAGACAACAGCATCAGGATGAAGCCCTTTAAATGGTACTTTCCCCTTCCTTGGTACTCAAGAACAGCTGTGTCTAGGGCCTGGAAGCCCAGACGTTCCTTTCTGTTCTACCAGAAACATCTTTGTGGTATTCCAGCAGCAGAAATAACTGATCCCACTCAGCTTACATCAACAGGGACAGAAATTTTATTGCCTTAACCCAAAGGCAAATCGTAAAACTTTGCATGGTTTAGCAGGAGCACAGAGAAAACACACAGTGGCTTTTTGGACAGAGACTGCTCTAACCAAACCCAAACTACTAAAGCCCAAAGGCATAAGCTCAGAACAGTGACTCATGCCAAGAAGATTATTTTTGCACATATTACTTGTGGAATCAGGATAATTTGCACTGCTATTTCCCCCCCCCCCCCCCTTTTTTTTTTTTTTTTGCCAGTGCACCTCCCAGCAGCAAACCCTCAGGTCCACACTTTCTGCAGACTATTTGCTTCAAAATGCACAAAAATGACCTTCCAGCCAGCAATGACAGATCTACTTTTGAAAAACTGATATGCCACTCCCCACTTGTAGTAACTAAACTCCAGATATAAGCAGCATTTTTCACCTATTTTCCTCCTCTGGAGGATTATCAACAAATTTCAATTACAAGAAAAGTAATTAAAGCTACTCAAGAATAAAAAAAGCTTGCCTAGAGACTACCAAAACTTGCACAACTCAGCTGTTACCTCAGCCCTACCTACAGGTGTGCTGTCTGCAAAAGAAAAATCCCCATCCTCAGAGGAATATTTTCCAGCCCAGGGAACATCACTGAAATCACACTTGTTTTCATTCACTGCTCTCCCTTCCACATGCCTCTTCCAGACTTGTTTACAATCTGACTGGAGATTTCCCAGCTTTTCTTTTCAAATATCTGCATAAAAAAATTAGTTCACCTGTTTTCTGGATCAAGGTAAAACAAGGATTTTCTTATTTGAGCACATGGGCCAAACACAAAAACAAACACTGAATATCAAACGCTGTGACGTGGCAAAGAAAAACAACTACAGAAACAGAAGGAAAACAACAAGATTTGGAAGACAAATAATTATTTTCTGGAGCATCCACTACAATTACAGCAGTCAGTTTCACCCTAGGGTAACAGAGGTGGCCTTTGCCCGGCAGATGAGGTATGAAAAAAAGTACAGCATCAAGTCATTAAAAAACCCCAGCAAAACAACAACTTCGCATTCCTGAATGCATCCAGCTGGGATGTATCAGGGCTTGTTAAATTCATATTCTCCCAGCGACCAACAGACACAGCAACAGGATTGGAAGCAACGACTTCCAGGTGTTATTTTCTGCCACTTGTTTATATTACCCTCATCTGATGCTGCATTTTATTTTATTGTTTTTAAACAAAAGTGATTTGCTTCATCCCTCTTTACCAGGAAGACAGGTGGGACGTACTAACAAGTACATCTTGTACTTGCTGTACAAGATGAAAAATCAGCAAGAAGTATTTTTTTATAATTAAATTAACAGAAAGCATTTTAACAAAGAGGCATTAAGGCTTCTAATTGCTCATGAGTTAATCGCCAAAATCCCACTTTAACAGTTCCGGTTAACAGATCGTGTAGCAAATTTGTTGATACTATTTTAAATATTTTGTAGAAATCAATCATCACTACACACTGTGGAACTTGAAAATCAATATGCACAACTGATAACTATAAATTTAATGAGGCGTTTAAGTAACTAATCAGGGTAGCAGTTGTAGCTTTTATTTTTATAATACAAATCAACAGTTTTAAAAAAATTAAAACGAAATGAGCAAAAGCGAAGCAAAAGGCATTCTGCATCTTCCACTTCATTAGATGTAACATTTCTGCTCTTATCAGGGATTTACACGCTAAAATAACAAACCAAAGCCGCCAACGGTGATGCCTCAGATTAGAGCAACCACGAGGCCAGACGACTGTAAAATGCGATTTACCAAAACAACGGAAAAGCGGCGCAGCCCAGAGGCCCCGGGCCCCGCTCCCGGCCCCTTGCAGCCCCCGGCCCGGCCGCCCCTCGCCCCGCGGCCCGGCAGGTGCAGCACCGACGCCCCCTAAAGACACCGCGGCGCCGCCGGCCCCTTCCCAACTCCATCCACACATCGCCTCGCTCCGCAGATGGAAACGCAGGGAAAAGGGAACCGCGCGCTTAAGTAGATTAAGGGCTCAGCAGCTCGTTTTCTGATTATTTGTGCGATCCCGACCCCAGCGCGGGCCCCCGAACTCCGCTCGTCTCTCGCGTCGCCGCGGCGGCGCTCGGGGAAATAACGCGAAGCGAGGCGCACGCAGAGCGCATCCAGCGGTGCGGGCAGGGCAGGGGAGGCAGCGCCGGGCAGCCCCCACGGCCCCGCGGGCAGCGCTGCCCCCATCCCGGCTCCACCTGAGGGGCAGCGCCGCGACCAGCGCCGGCCCCGGGGGAGGGGAACAGCCGCCCCCCCACACGCGCAGCGCAGCCACCGGGGTCCGGCGGGAGAGGAGGGGGCGCGCGGGGCGGGGGAGGGATGCGGCAGCACCTACCCACGCCGTATTTCTCCTCCTCGGTGGGACTCCACATGCTGCTGGATGGCTCGGCCGCGGCCGCCGGTCCCCGGGCAGAGCGCGGCGGGCGGGCGGGCGCCGCTCATCGAGCGGGGGCGGCTTCTCCTCCCCCCTCGCTCAGCGGGGGCGCCGCGCCGGCAGCCCCCGCCCCACGCTCCGGCCGGGGCTGTGCTCAGGGGTCGCTTCGCCGCTG